GATTCAGAACCTCAGTGGTGTACAATGAGCTCACATACATACAGATTCTGTACCTCACTGCTGTACAATGAGCCCACATACATACATACAGATTCAGAACCTCAGTGGTGTACAATGAGCTCACATACATACAGATTCTGTACCTCACTGCTGTACAATGAGCCCACATACATACATACAGATTCAGAACCTCAGTGGTGTACAATGAGCTCACATACATACAGATTCTGTACCTCACTGCTGTACAATGAGCCCACATACATACATACAGATTCAGAACCTCAGTGGTGTACAATGAGCTCACATACATACAGATTCTGTACCTCACTGCTGTACAATGAGCCCACATACATACATACAGATTCAGAACCTCAGTGGTGTACAATGAGCTCACATACATACAGATTCTGTACCTCACTGTTGTACAATGAGCCCACATACATACATGAAGTCTGATTTTAGCCTGGGATGTAAACTACAAGAGCTGTCAACATATTTAAGCTAGAGCATCTTAAATTACCTATCATCCCGGCCAACATATCATGTCTAGAAACTGTGTAATGAAATGGAAAAACTGAGCCAAATCTATGTCAGATTTGTATGCCAATATTTACAAATTCAAAATCTGACCAACTTAATTTTTGATGTATTTGACCTATGGTGAGCTTTAAGGACATGTTGAACTAGGGGCAGATAAGTCTTGTAAAAAAATTAGCCGAGCAATTCTTAACAAAAACTCTTGAGGTGGTAGACTTGATTCTAGGCATGATAACTGTATACAATGTTTTAAGTGTTTCCTTAATTCCCACATCTATTTGAGGACCGTGTTCCTTTTTCACTGGCGGAAGTATAAGGTTATTGACCATCATAGGTTTGATACACACTAAGCTGTTAAGATAATTATAGATTAAGATCACAATACGGTACAAATAGTTTCTTTTTACAAGAATTACAATATCTTAATATAGACTGTCCAGGACTAGGCATAAATCTGCAACTTTATCTGAAGGTTTGTGTGGAACGCTGGTGTAGGTATTGGATACCCATATCTTCTATGTATTGGTGAGTACTTACTTTGTGACATTTAAGCTGTTGTACAGGGACATCCTCTAGCAAACACCCTCTCAGGAATCCGGGAGAAAAAGTTACACTTTTATCACATATGTGTATGTCACTTAAGTTTTGGTGTAATAAATAAAAAAATTGGAAAAGCTAATTAGAGGACTGGCTTATATTAAATCTGTCTCTTGGAATTCTATTAACTACTTCTATCTCTTTTTACAGTGGAGTAAGGTTAGTTATATGGCTGGTAGCTCTGTCTACAAATATAATCTTGTCTGGGTGATCTGAGGTCAGTTAGGTCAGTTAGGGATACTGACCCCTTGGCCAAACATAAATTGAGATTTTGTTACCATGGTATCCACTGTAAATGACCTTTCTATAATGACATATTTGATTGTCCAGCTGACATCACTTAAAGTGTAAGTGCTGGTCAAGTGATCAAACGCCATTGCAGGTGCCCCTTAACTGAAGAAGAAACTCGTGAGAAAGTATTAAAATCAGTTATAGGATGCATAACCGTGTGGTGTTGATATTCAGTATGTTTAGAGAACCTGTTTAACAGATAAATTTATAATGAAAGACTGTTTTTTTTTCTGGTCAAATAATTTTGTATACTTAGTATGCTCAGTATGTAGTGGATGCAATTAAAAACAAATTTCTTCTCTCATTCACTGTGTGCAAGCAGCATCCCGGCCCAGGAAGATATACATCACAGTTTTAATGTTTCATGGTAGTTAGTGGCAGGCATTTGCTGGTAACCGCCCTTCACCATTTACCTACAATAAATGTACTTTATGCACCCCAGAAAAAAATTAAGTACACATGAAGCTATCAAGAAAATAAGTCTTAGTTGACGATGGAAGAGTTTGCATTTTCTTTGAAATCTGTTTTTGTTTTCCATTTTTAGAGTGAATCCCAGAATCAATGATTAATTTATCTAAATCATTTTGTTTTGTAATTTTGAAATAATTCTGGAAACGATGAAATCAATTATTTCACTGTCCTGAAATAAGCTCATGCTTTGACTTTGAATAAGATCTTCCTAAAGATTATCAAGATGTGTTGACATTCACCCTTCAGTGATTGGGTACATTTTATTGAGATCATGTCTAAAACGTTTCCTAAAATATTAAAATGCCAAAATAAGGATGTAACAATATTGAAACTATCTTGAAAGGAAATTTAAAATGGTATACACACCAATTTTATATTTTAGTTACGTAGGCAAATTGTATAATGAACATGTTGGTTATTTCCTATATAAATGCATCTGGGAGGTAATGTGTACATGTGATATTTAAACAGTTTCAAATGTCTATGTTGTTTAGGATGGAAATAAATTGAAAGGATGGACATGATTATATGTTATTTTACCCTGTTGTATGCACAGTATTCCTCTTGATGTACAGGTCTGTATTGTGAAAATTCAATGTTCTTTTGTACATAGTAAATTTCCAAATGAAATTTTGCAAGCTTGCCATTTTTATCAATGACATTTGTAAAGTGTACTTTTTATGATAGATTCAATAACTTTAGCAGGAAAAATTAGGCAATAAAATGGGTTTGATAAATGCCAGGTGTATGTGTCCTTAGGGATATCTACCTTGATATCAATGAATATTAGATCTGAATTGCAACCGTTACGGTAACATTGCCAAATCACCTCCAGACATGCAACAGGTCTAATGTTGAATGGGTGGTAGAATAATTGTACCATACCATACGGCCATATGAAATAAAACCTGTTGTTTGTTTGATTTACCTTAAACACCTGCCAATATCCAGTCACACATTAATTTAATGTTTTAATATCGCATATATATGAAAATTACCTATTTTGTATGGAAAAAAAACTGTTGGTGTTTGTTTTATTCTATTTGGCATGAAAATTTCAAATACAGATGTAAGAAAAGAAACGTTTAATCAGATGTTTTCATGGTCTTTAACATACACCGCTTTTAGTAGAAAAGTAAATAATATCTTTTGATAAATGTTGTTGAAATGGTCCTTAGACAGGAATGGGTCCATGGAATAGTATAGGTCTATGAAATGGGATGGGTCTATGGAATGGGATGGATCTATGGAATGGTATAGGTCTATGGAATGGGATGGGTCTATGGAATGGGATGGTTTATGGAATCGGATAGGTCTATGGAATAGCATAGGTCTATGGAATGGTATAGGTCTATGGAATGGTATGAGTCTATGGAATGGGATGGGTCTATGGAATGGTATAGGTCTATGGAATGGGATGGGTTTATGGGATGGGATGGATCTATGGAATGGTATAGGTCTATGGAATGGGATGGGTCTATGGAATGGTATAGGTCTATGGAATGGGATGGGTCTATGGAATGGTATAGGTCTATGGAATGGGATGGGTCTATGGAATGGTATAGGTCTATGGAATGGGATGGATCTATGGAATGGTATAGGTCTATGGAATGGGATGACCAACTCACCTGTCTATGGTTACCTAATGATTTGCCAATTTAATTTTTTCGTAAATAGATAAAATTTTCTAGGGGATATATTACTGCAATAATTCTGTGTCTAGTAATGAATAAACCCATCAATGTCTGCTGCAATTTTAAAAAAAAATCTGATGGTTTATCAGTGTTCTGCACACACAATTCAACCTACTTTGAGTTTAAAGGCTGGCCCACTGGGTATATTGTAGGATAGCCCTGGTATCACTGTCTCCACCGAACCCCACCACCCAGCTCCAATCAAAATATATATATGGCAAATTAAATGACTACATACATTTTAATATCAATACAATATGTTCCCTTTGAGCTGAAGGGTCTATAGAAAATAAGGACATTAACAAAAAAACACAAAACACACTAAACTTCAATTGATCATTGTTAACTGAAAGTTAGAATACAATGTTTGAGCAACAGATTAAGGAAACTATACACAGAGGTATGTATAGAATAATTACAAAATACAGGATACGTAACAGGTGCTTGTTACTTCTAGACCAGTGCAATCTACCATGATTTTTAATACAAACATTTACAAATTGTATACAATTGTACATTGAAAGACCTATTTGAGGTGTATATATTTTCAGGGCAGATGTCCAAAATGAACTGACCCATACCTTTTAGGGACAAGGTCTGTGGAGGTCAGTTTAAAGTGACCACAATGGACTGACCACCCGCTGATTTGTCTGACCTATAAACAAGCTGACCAGTAGTACAATATCGTGGAATTGACTTGTGAAAATTAGTTCTAGCCTTGTAGTGTCCAACAGATTTCATGCTTTGGTAACTCAGATGAAAAACAAAACTGACCTTTAGGATAATGTGTAGCTGTTCTGCTGACCAATAATGTTACCTGTAGGGGCAAGTGAATACCTGTGGGGAGATCGTTAGAAGTTCATTTGTCAATGGATTTAACTTAAGGAACTTGGCTACATGCTCTGTCATCTTGATAGTAGTGAAAAATTTCTCTCTTCTTTTTCTGAATTTTTTCAGAGAATTTGGAAAAAAGAAATGTCCACCAATATTTTTTTCATGATTGTCAATACTTCCATGCTAAAAGACTAATTTTTGTGTCAATTTCATAACAGAAATTTCAAATGGGAGTGCTAATTTTATAAAGGTTAAATTCAAAGATGCATACCGAATGTATGACAGTTCTTTAAATGTTATGCAATTATATATACTGTGCTTTGAGAGAAAAAGCAAATGAATATGTAAGTTATGTTTTTAAAACCAATCCAAAAGAATGATCATAGATTTAGGATCGGTTGAAAAATTAAAAATGTTTATGAAGCTCCAACTCAGTTAAGATGACCAAGCTTGGATAAATTTAGTCTAGGTCAGGTCAGTCTGTTTTTGTGATACTGACCTGTCAGCGGGGGATTTCCCCATACCTTCTCCTGTCCTGTGTCAAGTAGTATTTATACAAACAACAAAAGATTGAAGTAAATGAATAATATTTATTGTTACTACTATATATGTAAAACACTTATGTACATTCCTCTATAACATATGGCCTTCTCAGGGGCTACTCTGTATGAATGTGTAAGGCAGTTGATAGCAGATTTTGCAATGTAATTAATATTTGTGTATCCTTAGAAAGGAGCCTGTAGATAATCACTTAAGTTAGTCTACAAGTCCAGAGGCTGTCAATGGGGGGAGCCCAGCAGAGACAGCCTGATCTGAATGTAGCGGAGCTAGCATGGTCAGAGGATACGTAAATAGATTAATTACAACAGACAATTTGAAGTTATTTAAACAGTGTATCCTGAATGGAGCCTGTAGATAATCGTAATGTGTTAGTCTACAAGTCCGAGGTTGTAATTAGGGGGTGCCCGGTAAAAACAACCTACTGCATGGTCACTGGATACACCATATGTAGTATCTAAATAACATATTATGATGATATAAAAAACATTAATTATGTAAAAAACGAAGGTCTGATTTGGGGAAAATTCAGTGTAATGAATTAATGGCCTGAAGTGTACTGAATTACTGCCAGACAGCCATACAGGCAACCCATAGCGAGATAAGAGACATCAATAGTAAACAAGATAATTTGCTAAGGTGTCGCATCAGATGTATACAAAACAATGGACATCAGTGGCCAGCTAAAATGCAACATTAACGCATACGTACAATAGAACATGTCAAGGTCATTCTCCCGAGCAATAAGAGACAATGTACAAATGTAAAATCGTACTTTCTTCTTTCATATTATAATTTAATCAAAACTTAGTATGCACAGAAGTAAGGAATGCTTGAATCCCATCAAGGTTAGGTATCTTTGTAAATAAAGCACGAAATACTGGTGTCACAATGGGATGGAGGGTGGGTTGATTAGAAATCGAGGTCTGTTTGTACCCGCTCAAACCTTTTCTGCTCTGAAGCATGGCGTCCCTAATCTTAATGACCATTGGTCAGTTAACTCAATACGATCTATTTATAACTCATTAATAATCTGACATCATCATTTGCACACGTCACTATTTTCCTGTGTCTCAACTCGAGAATAGAAGAATCAAAACTTAGCTTGTTAAAAAACTGACAAGAATAGAAATAAAACCTTATATCGAATTAATCACATAATATTAATTTCAGTATGAACCAAAAATTGTAGTTGGTAATAGTTGTAATTTGTATAAAGTAGAATTTACTACAAATAAATTCATATTTTATACAAACAACAAAAGATTGAAGTAAATGAATAATATTTATTGTTACTACTATATATGTAAAACACTTATGTACATTCCTCTATAACATATGGCCTTCTCAGGGGCTACTCTGTATGAATGTGTAAGGCAGTTGATAGCAGATTTTGCAATGTAATTAATATTTGTGTATCCTTAGAAAGGAGCCTGTAGATAATCACTTAAGTTAGTCTACAAGTCCAGAGGCTGTCAATGGGGGGAGCCCAGCAGAGACAGCCTGATCTGAATGTAGCGGAGCTAGCATGGTCAGAGGATACGTAAATAGATTAATTACAACAGACAATTTGAAGTTATTTAAACAGTGTATCCTGAATGGAGCCTGTAGATAATCGTAATGTGTTAGTCTACAAGTCCGAGGTTGTAATTAGGGGGTGCCCGGTAAAAACAACCTACTGCATGGTCACTGGATACACCATATGTAGTATCTAAATAACATATTATGATGATATAAAAAACATTAATTATGTAAAAAACGAAGGTCTGATTTGGGGAAAATTCAGTGTAATGAATTAATGGCCAAATAGATTGTAAAGAGTCAAGTCATGTAAACTTGATGATTGAAAAGAGAGCCCCAAAGAAGACCATATAATAAATAAGTCCTTAAGGACATTGAGTATAAATTGTCACAGATTGTGTGTAAAACGTAACTTGTAACTCGTATTAGACGTTTATTATAATGTGTCATGCAGAACATGTGACTGAAAAACTATACCCCTAATCAAAATGAAGACATTTTCGACTGTGCTTCCTGAATAACCTCAGAGGAAGATCTGATATATCGGGTATAGCAGTTAGATGACCAACGACCAAGTGTTTGAATCATATGGTCTTCTATACCGGCCGCAGCAGCTGACGTGGCAGCGCCTATTCTAAATGAGTGGCCGTTGTATTTAGAACTGTCAATACCTAACAAGGTTAGCACGTGTCTGAGATAAACAATGAACTGATCACGTGTTAAGGGTACACCAGAACTCACTACAAACAGAGGGGATTGTCCTCGAGCTCCTTGTGACCGCCGAATGTCTAAAAAACGCAACATGGATGTGACTGGGCACACCCACCATCTACTGTTTTTGAAAATAGATATAGGGACCCCTTGACGGAAAGGGTCAGTCTTAGACGCTCTGAGCAGTAAAGTATATTTAGACTTATCGTCTGCTATCACTATGTCGTTAAGTCTCAAGCAGTCTTCTGCAACGCTTTTATTCTTAATGGTGAATTCACCACACCTTAGAAATCCAAAAAAGGCCATCTGACATACACAAGTTAACATCAGATCTAAAACTGGTGAAAATACTGAACGCTGACTCAGAAGCAACGTCGACATACGTCTTAAAATATCAAATGTAATAGGGAGTCTCTGGGGTTTTGTGATTCCATCTGTCCCTTGTTTTCTCTTGATACCCCTTAAGATGCATGACAGTCTCTCAGAGTTTAGGAAGGGGTTAGCATATCCCGCTTTGATGTAATGGAATCTAATTCCTGCTAGGTATAAGTTGATGGTAGCAAACTTAAGTTTCAGGCTATGGTAACAGTAAGACACGAAATACATGAGTAAGTCTTCGGACAGTGCTGGGAGTTGACCACACGGCGTCCGAGTACCAAATAAGGTCACAAAACGAAGGAGATGCTGTATGGCCACCGTATACGCCCGAGCTGTTTGTGGACTAATAGCTGCATCCCACAACTGGTTGATTTGATTCCTCATAGCATTAGGAGGCTGGGTAACGGTGGGCAAGGTGTTGAATCCTTTTCTGCTGATGGGGCTAATCTGCGGAATTTTTTCATCTGAAATCGAGAAATAGCATCCGCTATAGAGTTATTAACTCCAGGAATATGTTGTGCATGAATGATGAAATTATTTGCCGCTGAACAGAATGTTAATTTTCTCATCAAATTCATAATACCACTCATTTTTGATCGTCCCTTATTAATTATATCTACTGTCGCCATGTTGTCACAGTGAAACAGAATTCTACGTCGTGACCATTCCTTCCCCCATAACACACAACACACAACAATGGGGTATAGTTCGCGAAATGCCATGGAGATTTTTTCACCATCGAAAACCAAGTCTGTTGGAAATTTGCCTTGAAACCAGCGATTTTTGTAAATACCTCCAAATGATGTATCGGTCGCGTCGGTAAATAAATGCATGTCTGCTGCTGTAGTAATATTGTCATTTAGAAAGAAAGACACGCCATTCCATTGTGTTAGAAACAATAACCACATTTCTATGTCTAGCCTAGTTTCACGTGTAATACGTACATGATGATGCAGCTGTTGTACAGTTGTCGAAAGACTTATCAGGTAAGAAATAAACGACCGGCCGTGTGGAATGCACCGACTTGCAAAGTTCAAATGGCCTAATAAACTGAGCAGTTCACGCTTGGTGCATGATTTCTTGCCTTTGAATTCGGTAAGGAACTCTCGAATCCGAATAATTTTTTCCTCTGGCATCCTCATCTGCATATTCACTGAGTCAAGTAAGATACCCAAGTATTCTAGACAAGTGGTTGGCCCTGCAGTTTTATGTAATGCGATGGGGATGTTCAGAATCTGAAACATCTCTAAGATGTTAGACATAGTGTCTTCAGCTGGATAATGTGGTGGATCTAAGGTAAGAAAGTCATCCAGAAGGTGCAGGATGTTTCTTATGTTGAAGTGATTTTCAGCTATCCAACAAATTGCTGTGGACAGGAGGTCAAATATTTTTGGACTTGACCTACTACCAAACACTAACCTAGTGAAGAAGTAGAACTTTCCATCCCACTGAATTGCATGATATGGCCAAAGCGACGGGTGAATAGGAATAAGCTTAAAGGCATCCGAAATGTCAGTCTTACACATCCAGCTACACTTGCCTAAACGCTTGATAATCTGCACCGCATCGTCAATTTTTACATACTGTAAAGAGTAATTGTTCTTATCGATGAGATCATTTAAACTCGGATTTTCATCATTGTTGTGGGGCGAGGAAAGGTCCACAATAAGTCTTTTCTTTTTAGAGTATTTACTTTGAGCCACACCGATCGGATTTACTCTGTACACTTTGAATGGTAAAGTTGTGTACGGGCCAGCTAAAAAGCCTTTCTCTACCTCTGTATTCACTAGTTGGGTCACTACCTCTGGCTGAGTCCTCGCAGACAACAAGTTTTTACACACAAATGTAGACTGGGGGGGATTTTCTATACCTGTATGAAAACCGTGGCGAAGACCCCCAAGCAGATAATCTATAAATTGTTTGTCGGGATGATGAGCGAGCAGTCTTTCCAATTCCTTAATGTTTATAGGTGTAGACACTTCTGGCATTTTTATCCTCCCTATTGATTCCCCTGCCTGTTGAATCGGGAGGCATTGTCGTTTTTTATTTCCGATGAGCCTGAGGCGCACACAGTTTTAGGGTGCTCCTGTTTACATACGAGACATATGTGTAAGCGTTTACATCTATACCTGTTACACCCCTTATCATTATAGTTGTTGCAGATTTCCTTGCTTTGGTGAAACTGCTTGGGCCTACCATAGGTATCCTGGGACTTATGGTTGCTGTTTTGTTGATTCTGCTGTTGTGGTAAAACACTAAGAGGGCAGAACCCTGTAGTATGGCTGATACTTTGGCAAGAGGTACATGTCACAGGTTTCAAGTTGGCGAAAATGTTACAGAATAAGGTGTTATTTCTGATAGCCCAGTTAACCCGTTTGTTGTGATAAGCCAAGTGAGCCGCCGCTTTCGCACTAAATTGCCTGTGATAATCATAGAACCCAGCCCCTCCATACCTGGTGGCCATATCGACGATGTCACGCTCGTACAGGTCCATCTCGGTGTGTCTGTGGGGGAAGGCTTCACATAATACATTTTTATAAATTCCAAATGCGTGAATGAATTCGCCAATGGATAAAGCGCGTTGAAGGCGGGGGTCTGGTTTGTCTGTGCCACCGTTGATGTTGGGGCCTTGGTAATAAGGAATTAACAGAGTGGCCATATTAACATCCTTACCTTCTAGGATGTTCTTCCTGATGTTAGGTGCTATCAGTTCCACCTGTGGCAGGTCCTCAGAGCTGATCCCTTCTAAGGACCCAAAGCCCGTGTCAGAGTAGCTTTGTCCCACTGATTCTCGACTGGCTTGGTTGTTAGTCTCTGTGACACTGACCGGTAGACTCGCTGACCTTCCTTGGCTTATCATCGCATCTCGAGGTGTTTGTAAGGAACTACCAGCTGCCGCTGCTGGCACATGTCTGTTTTCCACCGTCTGTAGTCTCTCTTGCATATGTTTAATGTCCTCTCTCAAGGCAAGGATGGTAGCTGTCAACTCAGACCCTGCCGACATGACGGTAGGTCCGCCATCTTGGTTATTAGATGCTATGGCATGCTGGGCTGTATCATGACGTAATATCCGCCCAATGTCAGGCGCTGAAGGAATGGTCACTGCTGGTTCTCGAGTCGGGGGTAGACTGACGGGCCTTGGTTCGGCTGAATTAACACGATCCTTGTATAATTTAATGAGTTCCGATTTTTTGGCAGACGACACTGGGAAGGTCCCAAGCTCATTTAATTCTTGTCGTAATTTTTTTGCTGTCCAATTATCAGGCAAATTGACATCGTAAGGCACTGATCTACTAGTCCATCTCGTGTTACGTTTAGGCGCCATCACAACAAAACGAAGTAAAATATAGTTCAGTTTAACGATGATCAAAGTCTGTAGAATGACTGTATGAGCCAACACTAATGAATTGGAGTCACTGACCTGAGGGTATGTGTGATTTACGATACCCTTCTGTAGTTAATAATCCATGCACAGAATCCGACAGGATCACAGCTTACGTAAGCGAGATGAAGTTGTTATAACATGTGAAGACACCTCCTGCGAAAACTAGTGAATGTTCTTTAGAAGTCTCATGAACAAACTTTGATGTAAATCAAAGTGAACCAGTAGTGTCCCACGCAACGCAATAAGTTGGTAAATATTGATTAGACATCCAGATCAGTTTGAAAGTTGGTAAATATTGATTAGAAATCGAGGTCTGTTTGTACCCGCTCAAACCTTTTCTGCTCTGAAGCATGGCGTCCCTAATCTTAATGACCATTGGTCAGTTAACTCAATACGATCTATTTATAACTCATTAATAATCTGACATCATCATTTGCACACGTCACTATTTTCCTGTGTCTCAACTCGAGAATAGAAGAATCAAAACTTAGCTTGTTAAAAAACTGACAAGAATAGAAATAAAACCTTATATCGAATTAATCACATAATATTAATTTCAGTATGAACCAAAAATTGTAGTTGGTAATAGTTGTAATTTGTATAAAGTAGAATTTACTACAAATAAATT